AGCCCTCGAAACCCCAACAAGGCTGGGCCCAGGTTTCCTGGGGCTTAATCCCCGACCTTGTAGTCACTAGGGGCAGGAGTTAGGGTGTCCCCACTCCGAGGTGCTCTCTTTACACTGCAGGCCTTCTTGGCCCAGTGATCACTTCATAAGGTTCAAAGCAAATACAATTTATTAAACATCAACTGATTAAAGAGAATAGAATAAGAAACAATGAGAATGGTTAAATGAGAACACACAGCCCTGCTCTGTAGCACAGGGACATCAACACAGCAGTCTGCAGAGTGTAAGGACAGTTCACAGTCTCTTCCTTAGAAGCCCTGGATGTGCTGCAAGGGGCTGCAGGCTGGACACGCTTGCACTGGCAGTGACCACACAGCCTCAGTCTCTAAGTGGCCAGACCCCTCTCCCAGTCCAGAGCCTTTCCCCACACTTTGCAGGTCCCAGTAGCTCACCACATCCAGCTGCAGGCTGTGCTGCTTGGCCAGTTCCAGCTCCTTGTGTTGCTTCTCTGTTCCTTTTGGCTTTCTGAGCACTGCCAGTCTGCTGCTCAACACAGGGTCTGCACTGCTTGGCCTGTCTGTGTCTGGTTCTGTCGCTGCAGGACTTCTTCTTGTACTCCTCTCTCAGCTCTCTGTCTTTGCAGGACCTCTTCTGCACACAGCTGGCTCTGCTCTTTCAGCTCCCTGTTTGCTCAGAGAGAGAGCCAGAACAATCCCCACTTACAACCTGTCAGTCAGGCTGAGCTGGAGTGTTGACTGCTTTCCATTGTCTCTGGGGTCTGTCAGGGAGGACGGGGCCTGGCCTCTCCCCTTCCTCACTGGCCTGTCCAACCTGTCAATCAGGCTGAGCTGGAGTGTTGGCTGCTTTCCATTGTCTCTGGGGTCTGTCAGTCTCATGAACCCTTCCCCTTCTGAAACTGGGAGCTGGCAAACCAAAAAACTCCCACAGAGTTTTAGTAAGGGGTAACAGTCCCCTTACATACAGCTTTACAACATTTGCAGTTTAATAGCAATGATAGACATGAGCATGGAGACTGACTGATAAACAATACCCATAGTACAATTTTATGAGACTAAAGACACTAGGCATAGGTTCAATTCCAAGGGATGTTTAGTTTCTTTGTTTGCCTGATAAAGATGCTGCAGAAACAAATGTAAGTATTACTTGCAGCCTATTATCAGTTAGGTTACAAGCTAACTAAATAATCTTGCCACCTTCATCAATGTCTTCCCATTTCCTTTTGTTTCTATGGTAACACGCATAAGAAAGCACAGCCTGCAAAACTTTAACTATCTGCTCCTTCTCTCCCTTTCCTTTTTCATATCCCCCTTATATATTTATTCTCTTCAGTCAACATTTACATTAGCCCTGTTTCACGTATATATAGATTTCAAAACTAAAAATAATCACTTAAAAGAGTTTGAATACATCCAGAAGTTATCCCCTGCTTCTTGTCTAATCAGGAGCACCAAAGACTATATCTATGTAACATTTTGGGGTGACCCTTGGTCAACAGACTTGGGCTAGCAGGCCTCATGTTAGTGCTCTAAAAACAGCTGTATGGACAGCACTTTGAAGTTGCAGTTCAGGCATCCCCTTCCCTAGGCTTCAGAGTCTTAGCTGCAACATCCAAATGTCGTCTAGACTTTGTTTTTAAGTGTGCTAGTGTGAGGACTACTAGCTTGTACCGGACATCCTAAGCTGAGAGACTCACTCCTGCTTACTCCAAAATGCTACGTAGACACACTCAAAACTGCAGTTACATCTTTTATACCAAATCCTGATATGGAGTCAGAGATTAAAGGCAGAAGGGACCACCAGATCATTGTCTGACTTGTATGTTACAGACCACTACCACCTGACAGTATCCACACATTACAACCTTTCCTGGGAGCCATCATTAGGCACAAAAGAGTTACATCTGGCAAGGGAGAGAAATTGCAATAAGGAGAGGTTTTATAGGAGCAAGAAAATGAGGAAGGAAACTGCAGGTCCTCTACATAGTGGGGGGGAAATGAGCTAATAACAGAAGGTATCAAGAAGTGTGAGGTGTTGAATGACTATTTTGCTTCAGTCTTCACTAACTATAACGGTACAAGATACTCAACACAATTTGATATTAACAATGGGGAAGGAATGCAGGTCAAAATAGCAGACAAACAGGATAAAGAATATTTCGATAATGTATTATGTATGCAAGCACCCAATCTGCATGCATAACTGCAGTATTTCTGTATACAAATCAAGGACACAACTGCCAGAAAAAAATCGTGTGTGGCATGCCTCTCAGGCTACTCACATAGGCTTGCACTATCTCGACTCAAGCTAGTGTGCTCAAAATGGTAGCAAGGCCATTGCTTCACAGATGGAAGCTCAGGCTAGCCAACAGAGCTTGGGCCCAGAGTGTCAGGTGGGTTTGAGCTCAGGTGGCTAGATAAGCCTCTGTTGGTCCTGCAACATCCACCCTATATTTAACACACTAGCCTGAGCTGAGCTAGTGCGAGTCTGTCCACCAAGGGTGGTAGGCAAGCTCCTAACTGCGGTGTAGACACACCCTCAATTGCTGAATGGGGTTCTGTCATTAAAATGACAAGAAGACAGAACTTTTATGTCTGGGATTTTGCGCAGGCTTTGTAATCATTATTTGTATTGCCCAAAAATCCGGAGTAAAATCAGGGCCACACTGTGGTAGATACCATACAAAGATGAGAAAATATGGCCGGTGCCACAGAGAGCTTTCATTCTTAGGCCCACCGATAGGAACAGCAAAGAGGGCAACTACCCTGGGGCCTGGTGATTCAAAAGGGCTCAGGGATCCCAGCTGCTGCCACTGCTGCTGTGGCAGAGGTGGCACCTGGAGCCCCACGCCCTTTATTGCTGCTGGAGCACTGGGCAGTGTGCTCTGGGTGGCTCTGAAGGCTGGGGGAGGGCAGCGAGGTATGCTCTGGGAAGCACAGAGAGCTGGCTCTCCAACCCTGCCCCTTCCGCCCAAGACCCCGCCCCTTCAGGCGACCTTGCACGCAGGCCAGGTATGGCTGTCATCTCCCCTGTACATTCTAAATGCATTTTTAAATGGCATACAAAGGGGACACACATTTCTCTTTATCTACATTAAGATATCGATAGTGTGCTAATAGTATCTACCCTAGCAAGGTTTGCTATTAACCGAGACCAACCAAAATGGTAGATCTGAAACAACCACATTATTTCCTTCTTTTTTTGTTTTGGTTAAAAACGAATTTTGAAAAGACCTCGACCCCAACCCTTCTACATCCCTCAAAGTGATAAGTATTTCCACCTCAATCTTTTCAGTTGCCAAATCCACCTGTTCCAGGCACTCTGCCCCCTTAAGGCCACCATGATTTGGCGGCAGCAGACCCTTTCCTAGAGAGAAACTCAGCAGGCAGGAGCTGGGAGCCTCCTGGCCCTG